TGATCTTGGCACCTTCATTTCTGCCTGGATACATTTGAGATAATGAGTATTCAGTGCCTCTGGAAATACAGCCTGACATTAGTCTCTACAATTTTTTTGGTGCTATTCTATGTAATCATTTTCCTTGAGAGCATTTACTGTTCTGTTTTTTTGGTAAATTATTTTGATGATAACTTTAATCTTGGAAAGAAACCCAACAAAATATAACTAGAGATAACTCACTGATGTACAGATCTATTACGTTGATTACATTTATTATGTATGATCTCATCTAGTACTCTCCACTTATATTTTCTGTGAGCCTTCTGGGTAAGTTCACTTTTTAACCTTTCCTTTTATGTACCTGCATGTGGATCACAAAAATAGGTACGAAAAGTGTGACCACTGATCCTCAATTCATTAATTATTGAACCAGATCTGCAGCATTGCAACTGGCATATCAGACTGCCAGCAGGAGACAGGCCAAAAAGGCTTTTTGATTTTTTTTTTTCAGTCGGTTTTGTTTGTTTGTGTTCAAAGCTGTTTCTAAGCACTTGACAATGAAATGCATTCTGAGACCAGAAGACACAAAAATACATTTTTTTTTTTCCTTTGTAATTTCTTAATAGAACTTTGAAGAAGTCTTATACTTAGGAACTAAGCTGACTAAGAAATACTTTTTATTTAAAAAGATTTAAACAATTAATAGGCTATATTTTAAAATATTAGACAGAAGCAGTTAAACCCAGAAATATACAGTAAGAAACACAGTTGGCAGGAGAGATGGCAGCTATCCTGTTTTCCCCTTTGCCGGTTAAGGCTGGTGAGGTTGGGAATGTGTCAGCATGTCACTGTCGGACATTAGGTGCTCCACTTGTTATCTCAGCTTGTGACAGAACTCTTAACCTTTACAGCTGACAAGATTTTGAAGGAAAGATGTTCACAGTTATTTTCCCAGACCTATATTGTTGAATTGGAAGTATCATCGCCCCTCTGTAATCTGTCTGATCTGCCAGTAGGTATGCTGCATGCCTCACAACATCTTTAGAAGTCCACAGTTAGCATTAATCTGTTTGTTGGCTTTAGGCTGCTTCCCCAGTTTGTGTGCATGCATACCCTTAATTTTATTTTAAATAGGGGCCATCATCCTCTGACTTCAGTGATTGAGAATCTGAATTGATTTGTCCTCCTTTAATTTATCTGCATAGAAAGTGATTTAAAGTGACTTCTTTCTGGCCACGAGGACAAGGACCAGTTCCACACCAGAGAGCCCTGAGCAGAAGTCAGAACATCTCCACATGCTATAGCTTTCAACAAAGTTATTTTGGAATTTTATTTTTGCAACTGATCTTAAATATGGGCAATTTATATACCAAAGCCTTTGCTGCTGGTATGGCACAAATTTGCATGCAGGTGTCTTTTAAATACATGCCCAATATTCTTCATAATCATAGGATTATGGAAGGCTGTTTCCTTAATTTAAAATTGGAAAAGTGAAAGACCTTTACAAGAAACTTCATTAAGATTAATTGTGCAGTGCAAGTCTACTCATGCTAAGTCAGGGGGTTTGCAGCCCATTTGAAGATGACGATGGGTTCTGAAGTGCTAGACAAACAGCTACGTGGCAGCTTTATACAGCAGTATCCGGGGTTGGATCACTGCAATTGAGTCAACAAGGTCTGAACACTGAGAGAAAAGCAAATACGGTATGGCCTATGTAAACACATACTACTCAAAGGTTTGCCTTAGGAAAGTTCTTTCATTGTGCTTGGTAATGCTCAAGGCTTCAGGGGACAGAAATACCTTTGAATCTGACAGTACAGCAGGTTTGGTCCACACAGATGTATTCCAGAATTATCACAAATCTAGAAATGGGGACTGGGAAAAAGTGGAAAAAAATGGAGTTTTTAAGGGCGGAACTAGTGGAAACATGATTCTAGTCATCTTGTACGTACAGGGTTGCTGTATGTCAGATGATAAACTGTGCTTTATCTTCTGAAAGAACAACAGAATGATGTCCTTGAAAGCAGAGTATCCTTGGAGCAAGAGGTAGTTGTGCAGCAGTTGGGGAACACCGACAGTGGTGCCAGTGAAGTGAATAGATTGCCTGGGCTGATGGGACTGCAGTGGGATGTCCAGTCGCTGATGGTTTGTAATATTCACATTTATTATAAAAGGTTCAGCTGCAGTTGCTCTTTCCGGTGGAGAGACCAGATTTACCCCCTTCATTTCATTTTTAAAAGATGCAGACCTGAAACTGGAAGATGCTTAGCAGCAGTTGCTCCTGTTGCACTCCAGCATGAAGTTTTGACTTCCCCTAACAACACTGGGGCATCTTGTCCTAAATTTATATCTCTTATTCTTATATTGTTCTGTCCATAGCAGTGTATCAGCTTAGAGGGTAGCAGCTTTTCATTACTCTGCAGAGTAAGGTAAAACCTCCATATCTCATTAGCCTGCAACAGATGAAAGGCAGCTTTCAGCCAAAGAAAGGGTACTTTCTATTTTAAAATTACTTCAATTGTTTTGTAACTTTGTAATTAAAACAAGCCTTTTAATGGGGATCTTTTCTCCTGACTAATGGCATTCAATTACTGGATGTGAGTCTTTGATTTGGCAGCTTTTCAGCGAGCTAGAAAATGTATATGAGAAGACGAGAGCCAGGGAGTCTACACTTCTTAGGAAAGATTGTGGTTTACGAGATACTTGTCATGCTTTGCATGGAAGGACATAACTTTCCTTTGGTGCCTATCTGATTCTGAAACAGAAACTAAAACTGCTTGATTTAGAAGAAGTCAGTTTTACTCAGATTTCTTGGAATTCACTGTTAAAATGTTAAAGCATCCACACAGCATCCAAAGTACATATAAGAAAGCAGAAAAGCATATTTTTTTGAACCACACACAGGCACGTGTAGCTGCTGACTGTCTCAGAAACCTGGCATGACCAAACAGGTTCTGCACAGTTGCATTCAGCTGTGTATTTAGAAAGTGAGTTCTTCAGGGTTTTATTAACTTCAGTGAACAGTTTTCTCTGCTTCAGGTGCTATTGGTGCTTTCCTTTTTTTTTTTTTTTTTTTAATTTCTGTCCCTTGTTTCTGCAAGCTAGCAGGACGCTGTCAACTAATTTTGTTGTAAAACTTGAAGTTTTGATTATGAGCTTTACTGCAAACCTGAAATGGCTTTTTAAAAAATAGTGTAAGTACTTGCAAACAGTCAGTTGTAATTTACATGTACTTATTGAGTGGAAGTCAGTTGTTTTGTTCATGTTAACTCCCAGGTCTGTCAGAGCAGTCTTCAGACTCCTGATGAAATGAGAGGTTTGTGAAAGAGTTTAAACCTGGAGCTTACATCATAGATTTCCATGAGTAATGTGGACAAATGCGATACGAAGCCCTCAAGGGACGCCAGCATGCAGTGGGTGCTTCTGGCACTGACAGCATTATGTTTTAAGTGCTGGCACGTTCTTAATTAGTTCTTAACGTGGATTTGTCTACTTCTGATTTGGTCCTGAACAAGTTGCATGGCATGGTTACTCCAGTTGAAGAATGTATGAAGACAAAAATTTGGAACTCACTTGAGAATACGATGAAAATAGAATAAGTTTTAGGGGTGTTTTCTCTCTCCAAATATAACGTTGACCTTTACCACAGAATCTCTCTTAGCTCCAGTTCTGCCTGTGCCATTCCCTCAGTCTGTATGCTGCAGACCGAAAGAAAGCAGTGGCCACTTGTGAACAGCTCAGGATTATGTGAAGTAATGCTGCTACACTTCTAACACAGTGCACACAGATTGATGGGGAATGCAGAAGTCTTTGTGGCAGTTCCAGGTTTCCTGTGAGGGAGACTTTCTTAATAATAATAATAAAAATGGCTGTATTGAAAGATGAAGGAGCATCTTTCTGGGGAGTGCAGGACTTCAGTAAAGGGGGGCTTCTAAAATTACTAGTGGCTTTCAGACCAAGCCTGTTATTCTGACAGTGAGGTACATCTAGCCTTGGAAGAGACTTCTGGGGTTGGGTGGTTTTCCACTTGATACTTCTTTTGAAAGAGCTGGCCTGCAGTGTTAGAAAATTGCTCTGTAGGAGTGAGTATCTCAGCTGTATTCCTGTGTGAAATGATCTAGCTCCTTCTGATCTGTGCCTCTGGAAAACTCATGTTTTCAAAGCTTTCAGGTGGTTTGGGAAACAATGCTTCAGGGTTAGGCGGAGCTTGAGCAAAAGTTCTCCTGCAGTTTTCATTTTGAGAACTAAAACTGATGTTGTCTGAAGTGTGGGTGGAACTAAATGTGTTCCTTGGTTTCTGATAAACATCTCTGGAAAATACGAAACCCATTCATCTTCAAAGAAGACATTAAATGTAATATTCTAGATGATTTTTGCCTTAAGATCAATATTTACAGCAGCAAGTACCCAGGGATGCAGACATGGCCTTTTTTTTTTTTTTTTCCTCTTTTCTTTTTGCTCTAGAAATTATCATTTAGCAGCATATTGAACCAGCAGTTCTCAGTTAATCAGCTTTGGTTCTGCCATCTCATAAGTTTGAGAGGCAAGAATATGAGGAGTTATCAGAGTGGAAAGGAAGCCAGGTAATCAGACAAACTACTCTGCTCTCTTAGACCCTTGCACAAAGCAGGGGACATTTGCAGTGGTGGTACTCAGGACTTTCTGTAAATGTGACGTACAATCTACATTGGAAAAAACCTGTTCTAAGAGAATGCACTGCCACGTCTGTTCTGTCTGGCATGAGATAGTCATGAAGGAGCTTTATGTACGGTTGTGTTTTCCATATGTGTGAATCCTGAAGTTATCTTTGATATACCTTTCTGAAAAAGTGTGCATCAGGGAGTGGTCGGGACAGTGAAAAGGTTTGCTTGCCAGTCAGAGTAAAGAACAGCGGTAACACACCCGGTAGCATCACTGAAAAAGAAAAATAGATGGAACAAACAGTAGCATTTGTGTGGTGGCAGCTCTGGAATTTCAAAGTGGTTTTTTTTTGTTCTTTTTTGTTTTTGCAATTTTAGAACTGACCAGCTTCTTAGAAGATGATGTTTATTCCTACTTGAAGCTGCCATTTGGGAAACAGAAGAAGAATGTGGACGAATCCAAACCTCCGCTGTCTTTTAGTGCTAGCTATTTTATGTTTAACAAGCTTAGTGCGTAGTCGAGAGATAGGTGAGTATGTTGTTACCTAATTCACTAGTTACTTTTTTTCTGTTTCTACTGACACCGCTTAATTATGGTGTTTTCCTACCTTATGAACATTCAAGAATTGCCACCACTGTGATCCCACACCATCCCCAAGATTGAAGCACCGCCAGACCTGGCTTCTCTATCCCAGCAGCCATTGAATCTTGTTAATCAGCATAAAGCTGGGTTTTAAATTCTCCATAATGCAGCTGTGATGGCCTGCATCTGTAGTTGTTGTAAATGTCTGCATTGAGACCATTCTGCTGTTTATGTCAGCTGTCTGTGACAGTTCACACATTATCATTAATTGCCCATCCATCATTAATTGTCCTCCATGTGGGACAATGGAGGAAAACAAAAACTCATTAAGTTTATCATCACTGCTTGTGGTTTTGCCATTGGCCTAAAGCCTGCTTGTTAGGCCAGGCTAGGAATGGGTTTTGTGGAGACAGCTGCCCGTCTCCACAAAGTACTTGCGTACTTCTAGAAATGCTTCAGATTGTGGCTGTCTATAATCAGGCATACTCAAAAATCATGCAGTGGTTTTAAAATAGTGGCCAGAAATGTGTGCAGTAAATATGTAAACATAATGCCTACAGGTATAAACCATAGTAGTTGTTTTACAGTTGGTCATTTATGACCTGCCATTTGTGACTAGTTCTTATACACTTTCAGGTTCTCAAGGAGACCCCCAGAATTTAAAATGTGTCACGCACAATTTACATAAAATGGTCTGTACTTGGGATATCTCATCTAAAAGAAGACATGGACAAACTGAGTTTTGTTACACTATAGAGTAAGTCCTCCCTTACCTACTTGACTGCAAACTGCTAAACTGTTTAAAGTATAGTTATACCTCAGCCTCTGCCCATGAAATCCATAATGCTTCTTTTTCCCCTAACAGTCTGCCTGCCAGTTGTCCTCCAGTGGTGTTAACTCAGGCAATGGCAGGATTTCTGATGAAGTTGTTTTCTTTGACTCTAACAGTACTCCTGCCAAAATCTCCTCCTTGATCTCTTCAAAGAGCTGGAAGATGCTCTCTTTTACTCAGAGTTCTCTGTGTGTCTGCCTAGCCCTTACTCAGAGTTTTCATAAGGGACGTCTTCATACCAGGTTCAATCCAAAAGGAAACAATAGCTGGGAGAAGCAGATCCTGATATTATGTGCCAACAAGGTAGAATACATAAATGTCAAGATTTACACGTGGAAAAAAAATTAAAAATCTCTTGGTGGCTATCTTATAACCTATTTAAATTTTAAGCTGTTTGGAGAGTGTTTTATCAGAGTGTGTGAAAATGAGTCCACATATTCAGTAGCCTTTCTGAAGTGAATGCAAGTTGAAAATTTCAAAAAACATGAAGAAAATAAAATCTTCAGTATGTTTTTCACTAAGGAAACTACATGTGCAATTCCCCATGCTGTGGACCTGCCAAATACTTATCATGTGCTAGGACTGAGTTCAAATCATTTTTGTATCTTGATTCTTCTCCCAGTCCAGACATTTGCTCTTTTTTTTTCCTGTTACTTCTGCAGGCAGCCCAAACTTTTCCTTGGGGTCTCAGGGCTTGGCTGCACTTCTTCCACCTACATGCTTGATTTCTTTGTTTAGTTATTATTCCTGCATTGCCAGATATTATTTCTATACAAAAATTGCATATATGTGATATTTTGGCCAGAGATCAGGAGTGCAGAGTTCACAAGGTACTGCCCTCTGAACAACAACAACCTTGTAGCTGCTTCTGTTTTTCCTTAGCAAAGCAGATCAAGGTTGGGTCCCCAAGGCAGAGAATGATGGCTGAGCTTCATGCAGACCTCCCAGCGGGAAAAAAAATTTGTTTTTCATTTGCTCAAACATCCTCTAATGATATTTCAGTACAGAATAGGAATAGCCTTTATGAGCACGCAGGTCTCAACTGGCCTTCACTAGTTCAGTCTTTTGTGTGAATCAGAAAAGTTCAACCCAAGCTCTTGACTCCAGCAGATAGGAGTTCCAGGATCCTGTTCCAGTTCATAAGTGAGTAATAATCTCTCAGCAGGAAGTCTGGCATTGTTCTCATCATTTTCCTTCCTCCTATCATTGCCTCAAGAGGAAGATTTGGGTTTTTTCAAACTTTTTTTCCTTTCTAGTTGCATATCAATGATTATGAGCAAAGGGACTTGACCCATACATTGTTGTTTTATGTGTGTATCTACGACCTTTAGACAAAGGCCAGATCACATTGTGCTGAGTGCTGCACACTGTGTGCAGACTGCATTTCCATCTGGAATCTTAGTAGTTCTCTTCCCTGCACTCTGTTCTTCCCCTACTAGCTGATTTGTTTTCAGGTGGGTCACAGGTGGGTGAACATATTGTTTGCATCCACATGCCATCTCTCTGGAGAGAAATTGAGAGAGATGGAGTCAGGAAATGTAAGGAAAAAACTGTAGAGTTTTGCTTTTTTTTTTTTTTTTTTTAATTTAAATCGTTTTGAAATACTGATTTTTAGCAACTGTAGGTTTTAGAAATGTATCTCGTGGTTAAAAAGTCATTTTTTCACTTTGAGGTGTTCTCTTAACAGGATGGCCACATTATAGAACTAGTGCATGCATGGTTTACAACTTTGATTAAAGTGGCTTGAGGGAAGAGGAGTGTCTGTTAACCAAGTCCTGCAAGTCCTTCACAGAGATATATTTGATATGGAGTTCTGTTTGCTACGTTTCAGAGAATTCGTGTTTTGTTAGTATCCTGGATATATGACATAGCTTGCCTTAACTTCCTATCAGCTGAAATACCTGCTTAAACCTCTCTGTCTTTTCAGTGACATCATTCAAAAGTGTTTTAAAACTAAGGAGAAAAAAGTTGAGATTCCAGTCCCAGAGAGCACCACCACCATGAAAATAACCACATACAGCACTTCTGGAACAGCCTTTGCTACTAGACGCTTTGAAATTCACAAGAAAGACATCTGTAAGTGTCGGGTTTCAGGCCTTCGTAATATATCTGAAATGCAGTTAAGCGTAGATGCCTACATTTTTGTTTGTCAGTGTTCCTGTATATAGAATGTTAATGAATCCATATGAATCTGGCCATACATAGTGCGTTGTTATTTCTCCTCAGAGGAAAAAAACACCCTGAACCCCCCCATCACAGAGAATTCAAGGACAGAATGCGAGGAGGAAACAAAGCCCAGTGTTGTTAGATCCTGCTAATCACTCTGTGTCCTTGTTTTCTTTGCTGCAAATTAGAAAGGATTTGTGGAATAGTTACTGGTTTACATTCTGAAGTACCTCCATGGAGCATAAAGTGCATTTGCTCAGACTTGAGTGGGAGAAGGCAGATTAAAATTCCTAGTGCCTGTTCTCCCTTCTTAAATGTTGAACCACACAGAACTAAATTGTTTATTCCTGCAACTAGGCAATGTTTTAAGATCAGTTATATCAAGCATCATTCATGACAGGCTCATGTTTTCTTAGTACATGCTGAAGTTGTCCATTCCATTTAAATTTATATGAAACTCAGCAAAGACATCAATGCTTAACAGCTTTGCTGCATCCTATTGGGGTCATAGTTTAGTATAACAGACTTTTTCCTACTTCCTTTTTCCCAAAGGTGGAAGAAAGCAAGAAAGTATCTGTAGGTTGAGGCAGTGGTGCCCTACACTAAATTGCTTCCTACCTTGATAATAGTACTGTGGCTTGCTTGGCTCTGAGGAATTTCACTGAACTTGGTGTCCAGTGTTTAAAAGGAGATCCCCTTACCTCATTCGATATGTATGCCCACAGCCTGTCTCCCTAGAGTTTCAAGTACATGTTCTTCCAGATTCTCTGTAGCTGTATTGTAAGTATAACAGTCACCCAACACCACTGCCATGTAATCTGCTCCACTAGTTTTAGCCATTGGCATTATGTTGTGTATTTCCAACTCCACCAATTGCTATCAGTCAGGTTTAACAGCACTAGCTTCTTCCAGGCGTTTCTTAAAGAAACTGGAACTAGTAGACAGCTAATTTTTCCTTCAGCTTACATCTGGTTCTTCACTTCCAGTAGCAACTTCACTGATCATCCCAGGTCCTCAGCTATGAGATGAAGATTAGCATTGACAATCTTATGTACTTACTCATAATTTAGTCTTTGGTTCTGGCTAGAGCTGCTAGGAAATGTGAACAAAACAGAACTGAAAAATATGTGGGGAATGGATTGGGTTCCCCAGCATCTGTCTGACTCCAGGCAGGAGGACCCATTCAGGTTCCTCACAAGACATCCTGGGTAGCATGTTAATCATTCTGAACATGTTGCAAGCTCTGAGAGTCTTGGCCAGTACCCAAGGTGGATAAATCATGCATTTTAAAAACTAGATTTATCCTGCACCAGGGCCAATTCCATCTGAACTGCTATAACCCTTGCATCTCAGCCTCTTGCTTCACCACTATCCATTTGTAGAAGATATGCTTCTGTTTAATCTCCCTGTCATGTCTCTATCACGATGTCATGTCTTCCCTATTTCTAGGATCTTAAAATCATATTCCTCATGACGCTCTCCAGAGCCTCGTGTGAGCTTCTTCCATGCTGTGCTTCTACTCTCCTACCTCTCTGCTCTCATTTTTGTTGAGTCACCTCTTTTCTGCTTGTCTCTAAAACCTTCTTCTTTTTTTGGTGGATTTTACATCCTTCTTCCTTCTTGTATTCTTATGTACACTTCAATTCTATAACACAATTTATCTCTGTGGCATGGAGTGAATGTTGACTGCCTGCCTTGCTACACATTAGGAAGAGTCAATTCATGATTACTGAATTACTTGTCTGCAAGAAACTGCTACCCGGTGACTCATTGGCACCTGTGCTGTCCTCAGCACTTTTCTGCTCAAGTAATGACAAAGCACATCTTGTTCTAATCACGGAAGTTGAGTTTCATGTTTGTATGGCTACTAGCCAGTTCAGAGCAGAAATGTGTCTGTTAAACACCTGTTGGGCTGGTGTTGCTGACTAATAATTTGAATATGTTTGTTGTTTTGTTCCTGCCCTCTCTTTTCAAGCATTCGTTCCACTCGCTCCACGCATTCTTAGTTTAACACCTGACTTTTCAACTTCTACTTTAACTCTGAAGTGGAGTGATAATGGATCAGCCTTCCCATATGGACTGGACGCCTCTTGGGAGATTGAGATACTCCGTAAGGAAACAATGGAAGATGTCACACGAGTAAGTTCTTTTCATCCTTTAGGGAAAATAAATGTGCAGATTTTGTCTCCAGTGTTGTAGTAGGTCAACTGAATTAATCAGTAGATATCTTGAGGTCACAGTACCTTCTAAATTTAACCAGAGTTTGGAAAATGACATCCCCAGTTTTTATAACCTGAGTTGTAATTCCATTACATTTGTTTTTTAGAAAAGGAAAAAAAAAAAAATATGTATTCTCAGGCTAAAATTTACAAGAGATTCATGCTGGAAAAGCTGGGACATGGAGGAGGCCCTGAATACTGGGATACCGTGTATACTTTTTGAAATGCACAGCAAGCTGCCTACTCTCTCTCAAACATCTGCCCTCTGGTATTTCTAGCTGATGGTTTGCCTGGCTGGTGGGCTGTTTAACATCTTAGATTCTTGTCCAAGTGAATTCAACTTTCAAGGCAATTGAAAGTTAAATGAAACACTTTGACCATCCACTGCAAGTTTATTATTAACCTCACTCACTTTCCCATTTGGTTAACAGCTGTAAGATTATATGTCTTTGCAACAGCCATTCATGATCTCTTTGTTTTTTGGGGGAAAAACTTTGTAGGAATCTTACAATTCAAAACTGATCCATGAAGACATCATTCATTCTTGGAACTGGAAATCAGACATGCCTTTGGAGTGTACATCGCATTATGCAAGGATTCGCCATTATATTAATATAACACAGTTTGATGGCCACAAGGATTGGAGTGACTGGAGCCCAGTAGAAGTAGTTCCTGGTATGTATGTTTCATTAGTAACGCATGGCCTTTATGTACTTTGTGAAAACTAAGGCAGAGTCAGAGGAAAAGATTTAAGGCTGTGATGACTCAGTGCTTTTGGGGTTATTTTAAATAGAGAAATATTTGGTGAAATAAATGAAACCTCATTAGCATTGATTTGGGTGCACTGGTGTACTCCTTTAGTTGACTGGCAGCATATTTATAGCAAATTGTTTTTGCTTTTTTTTTTTCCTTTCCATTTTTATTTTTCTTTTTTTTTTTTTTTCCTTCTCTGATAGGAAAAGATACTGAGCCCAGTGGAAGTGGACTTTTTCCTCAGGACACTGTGGTGGCAGTGGGTTCAAATGTGACATTTTGTTGTGTCCATGAAGAAGGACGGCAGGTACAACGGATGTCATATGGAGCGAAAGATTACCCACTAATACGTCTGAGCAGTCGGAGCAGTGCAATCAGAGTGCTCAATGCCAGTGCTTCAGATGCCAGTGGGACAAATATAGTGTGCAGAATGTCTGAAAATGGGATGGATGGAACTGTCTTGTTTGTAGGATGTATGTATAATTATGTTTACTAACCTTGAGGAAATGCTCTTGAGACTCTCGGGTCTGCTAGAAAACATGCTGTTGTGGCTTTCTTGCTATTCCCTAGCTTTTGGTTTAGGAGGATAAACTGGGATTTTACTCGTATGATTAATTTCATTGTGGAAACTCCAGCACATTGAGAAGACGCAAGGGCTGAGAGGGTGAGGGGTGGTGGGTACCCAGTGAGTACCTGTGAGAGTCTCCAAGAACCTGTCCCATTGCATCTTTGCTTCTAGACCTCTATTCCTGAGGCAGTTCTTCATTATCTGGAATACTTAGAAGTTTCTCAGCATTCAAAGATTTATCCTCATTTTCTGTCACTTTAGATGAACATGTATTTCAGTTTGTTCCTAATAAAGGCAAGAGTAAGAGCAAGAATTGTAAGTGAAGACTAATTTACAACCAGTCAAACAAAAGCAATAAAACAGTTATGCTCAAAGCAACAACAGATGCTCGTCCAGAGCAGTAACTTCCTGGGAGCTAAATTACAGTGAGGGAATTTGGCTGACAGTTCATTTTCCCTGGGAAATCTTCTGAATATTCTTTTAATATTTTCTTTAAAGATGCTGTAGCACCATGTATCTTTTCTGTGAATCTTTGCCAGCCTCAGAAATCTCTTCCAGATGCAGCTACCTTTTGAAACAAATTTGAATTTTGAAATTATCTGTTTCTTCTTCCCATTAATTAATAAACCTCAGAGTTTTATGTGCTTTCACCACAAAGGTTGTGAGAGTTGCCATCTTCGAATAGCTCCAGTTTTCCATTGCAAGTACCCATCTTGGAATTTAGAGTCCTTGGAACTGAGGAACTCATTTTGAAAGTGTATTCTAATTCCAACATGTATCTTTTGAAAGTCTATCTTCTTGCATATTCCATCTGTGTTAGAAAATGCAAAACCTCTAATGACTTCTCAGTGAAATGCAATTTTTATGTTATCTGTGCTCTGATTGCTTTTGTGGAAGAACCTTCCACATAAATAATCAGTGCTCAGTGAATGAAGACTATGGTGGCCTTGTAGGATTATTCCACACAGTACTTTCTGAAGAGCTAGGCTGTAGTGAAGTCTGTGCCCTTCCAGTGTTTCTTGTACTTGCCAGTGTAGCTGCTTAGTGGGAAATAAGACTTGCCAGAATACTCTTCCTGATGAGGTAGATCTGGAGAAAAGAAAGTAGAAGAAATGAATGTATATCCACACCATTTTGGTTAAGGCTAGACCTGGCAAAGTAAATGTTAACTCTTCTTTTCCTTTTACTTTTCTTAGTTTGAAGTAACCCTGGCCTGGTCTCATGTTACTTTCCTTCTATATGGCAGTTACATGGATACTACTGCACTACAATGTGGGGAAAAGTGTATGAGATTTGAAGTGAGGCTATGCATAGTCTCACATCAGCCTGGTTACCCTGTCTGTGTTGGCAGTACTGTCCATCTTCTCCATAAAGGCAGTCAACAGTGGTGTAGTGTGGGAGAGAAAAACAACGCTTCAAAAGGAGAAGATTGGCACTTTCAAAGCGACAGTGAAAAGAATGAGGGAATCATGGTTTGCTTAAGTTTTCAAATTCAGGATCAAAATCTTGCCAAGGGGAGCATCTCTTTGACATGACTTGCTTGGAGAATGCAAAGCAGTCATGGAGCTGGCATGTGAAAAATTTCTCAACTGTTTTGTTGTTAAAATGAGACTCACAGTTTTGTAAATCTCTTGACAGAGTTTTAGTGAAGCACTTCCAAGTCAGAGCCTGAAGCTTTATCAGCTTACCTACCCACTTAGGAGCCCGGAGTCAAGTGTAAATCAGTTGGGGCTGATAATAATAATTCATTTTATTTGTTCATTTAAGCCATGTATCACAGTTTCACTTATCACACTGGGATGGGAATACTTTGTCTAACTTTTTTTTTTTTGTTTTATTTTATGCTACAGATGGCCCTGATATTCCCAAAGACCTCAGCTGTGAAACATCCAACTTTGTGATAATAAAATGCACCTGGAAACCAGGAAGAGCCAGTGGACTATACGGAGTACGTGGAACGAAGTACAGTTTAATTGAAAGGTAAAACCATTCAGCATTGTAGGAGTGAAAAGGTAGAACTAGAATGTATCCCTTGCTGGCTGCGACTAATTGTTCCATGCCTCCTTATATGACATAGTCTTCATTGTTTGGAGCCTGAAATATTTTTGTGGAAGTTGGAACTAAACTCTTAAAAAAAAAATTATAGGAGCCTCATTTTGCAGAATTACAATGACAATTGGAGATGATATTTCCAAAGACTTATGCTGTTCTGGACTAGTGACAAAATAAAGGGCTTATTCTGTCAGACTACTGCCAACATGATGTATCTCTGGTCTTGGGTATTACCAGCCTGCTTTTGATTTAAAAATGGCTGGGACTAATGGATGTATCCTGTGCAATGGACTAGTGGATGTATCCTGGGCAACAAATCTTAGTTTATGTTTGGCAGGGCTGGTAGAAAGATGTTATGTATGTTACATTTCCTTAGCTCAGAAAGCAATCAAGAACATACTTCCAATGCAAATGTCTGCTGATCTGAACAAAGATACTTCAAATAAGAGACTCAGTTGCGACTTGTGAGGTGGTTTTACAGGATGTACCTGTTTTCCAGGCTTTTGAGAAGTGAGAAGATGGAAATGTTATGCTAGTGAAAGAGTTTCATGTGAGAACGGGGCAAGTCATAACTGATACCACTTTAGCTTGTACTGTGGTGTTAGATATGCCTCTGCAGTCAACTCATTCTGTAAGCCCTATGAACACATTATTCTTTACTGTGCTTTTAGTCTAGACTTCTGACTGTTGCTATAAATTACCTTATTCAAAACTAATATTGTTCCCCCACCCTTTTTTACTTTATAGTATATCTGGTAAAAATGTTTCCTGTGAAGTAAATGAAATGAAGAAAGAGCGTGTTTGTGGCTTTCCAGTTCTGGCTGATCAGAAAACCTACAGTTTTGTATTAGGAGTTTCCAATCCTATTGGACAAACAGAGGCATCTCTTTTGGTTGATTTAAATCAGAGAGGTAAGTCTTGAGAGTTATGAAGGCAATGAGATATGTTTACTGTATGCTAAAGGGTTGTTTGGGGTTTGTAAGAACACTGACATGGTATGCTTGTGATTATATTGCTTTGTTGTCACAAGTTTTTTGACTTATTTTGTGATTTGAACTTAAGAAAGCTTAGCACATGTCCTGAGGTAGAGATAGAATGTGCAGGGAGATGCCTGTATTGTGTGTAATCTACAGCAGTACTGCTGGACTGTGTACACTGCTGTATGGATAAATACTGCTTGTGATCTAATAATAAACAGCTGCTGTTTATGTATTGCTTCGTATTTTATTACAAATCAGCAATTAAAATTTAATTGTAACTATGAAAATGGCAAATCATACCTGACTAAGGTGGTGACTTTCTGTGATGGAGCAATGGCTTCAGTGGGCAAAAAAGATGTCATCTATCTGGACTTGTGCAAGGCATTTGACACGGTCCTGCATGTATCCTTATCTCTAAGTTGGAGAGGTATGAAATTGAAGGCTGGACTACTTGGTGGATATATAATTGGTTGGATGTTTGCAGCCACACTCTGGCTGCAAACAGTGTCTGTATAGTCAGGTGGAGACTGGTCACGAGTGGTGTCCTCCAGAGATCCATCTTGGGACCAGTATTCTTTAATATCTTCATCAGTGACATAAATGATGGGATTGAGTGCTCTCTTGTCAAGTTTGCAGATGACATCAAGCTGTATGGAGCCACTGACATAACAGAAGCTGTCCAGAGTATCCTGGACAGAAATGGAAAATGGGCCCATGAGAACTTCAGCAAGGTCAAAGGCATGGTCTTGCACTTGGGCCGGGGCAGTCCTGGCTATGTCTACAGACTGGGAGAAGAACTCATTGGGAGCAGCTCTGTGGAGAAGGACTTTAGGGTTCTGATGGATGAAAAGCTGAACATGAGCCAGCACTATGCACTTGTATCTCTGAAGGCTAACAGTATGCTAGGCTGCATCAAAAGAGGGGTGGCCAGCAGGGTGAAGGAAGTGTTCTGCCTTTGTGAAGCCCAATCTGGAGTACTGTGTCCAGGTCTGGGGCCCCCAACACAAGAAGGATGCAAAGCAGTTGGAGCAGGTCCAGAGGAGGCCACAAAGAAGATGAAGGTGCTGGAGCACCTCTCCTGTGAAGAAAGGTTGAGCAACCAGGGCTTGTTTAGTTTGGTGAAGGAGAAGGTTTTGGGGTGACTTCATTGCGGCCTTCCAGTACTTGAATAGGGCGTATAAGTAGAAGGGAGACTGACTTTTTACTCGGTTAGTGATAGGATGAGGGTAAATGGCTTTAAACTGAAAGAAAGGAGGCTTAAGTTAGATGTTCCGAAGAAGTTCTTTATTCAGAGTGGTGAGGCACTGGCACAGTTTGCCCAGAGAAACTGTGGATGCCCCCACCCTGAAGGTATTCAAGGCCAGGTTGGATGGGGTCCCGGGCAGCTTGATCTGGTGGCTGGCAACCCTGTGCACTGTATGGGGTTGCATGTTGGTGATCTTTCTTTTCAGGCTAGGCCATTCTATGATTCTGTATTTCAGTGTCTGCTTAAAGGGCAAAATGTTGTACAGGCTCACACTGGCAGCATTTGGAGCATAAAAACGTAGTGCTAAAAGGAACTAGGAATAGCATTACTTACTGTTAATAATAAGCACATAGCTGTGATCGTCTGCTGTTATGAATTTATTTCATTGCACTCGTTATAAACAGAGAGAGGGAGAAGATGATCACCTTTCTTATGCTGACTCTCTTCCCTGTCCTTTTCCATGCAACCATACTACAGCTGTGAATTCAGAGTTTCTAGGGCTTATAGCTCTCAGCCATTCACTCTGTAAAACTCAGTTTGTAGTTTAAGATAGCTCATCTTTATTGTTTATTTATTTATTTATTTTCATCTCCTAATGACAGGAGCCTGAGACTAGAACTGCAGGAATACATAGGCAGGTCAATTTGGTATAACTTATTTCTGTTAATGGTAAACTGGGTTGTTTTGCATCCAGTCAGTATGACTGCTGTTTTCCATTTGTTTCCTTTCCTTTCCTTTCCTTTCCTTCACTCACTGTACGCTTAGTTCCCAATGTAGAGCACATATTTGCTTAAGGGTAACTGGGGCAATTCCAACAGTGGAGATTGATTTTTCTCTAACAGCTCTGAGAAGTAGTATTGAATAGTCCACAGATGCTCCATGAAGGGAACTTTGGACAGGGGGAAGTAAAGAGGTTTGCAGATTTTAAGTTCTAGCTTGCCAGGTTCCCATGATTGGGTGAATTTCATGTGTCTATGTAGTCCTCTGAAATAGCCCCTGTTTCACTGTTTTGGTAAAATAGCTAGGAAGTTAAATGTTTTTCTGCATCTCCAACCCCTTATTATGTATGCCAGCAGAACTCAGCATAAGTAAATCTGCTTCCATGTTTAATAACTGAGAAGTGCATCAGAAGCAAGGCTGTTTTATAGGTGCCTCTGCAGCACCAGCTGTCCTAAGTGCTGTTTGGGCATTATTTATTCTTCTGATTCTCTTCAATCTTTCAAAACGTAATTTTTTAAATCTGAAATTAATCTGTTTGGTTTTTTTTTTTCTTAGAATAATTGTTTTTTCTTTAATTTTTAAGTTAATCCAGAAACTCCAGAAAAGTTAACTGTTTTTGAGAACAGCTCCACAAGTGTCCGTCTGCGTTGGTTTATAAATGGCAGCTTTGCTGAGATCAGGCTTCTGTGTCAAATTGAAATCAGCAGTGGCCACTCTGAGCAAAAACTGGTAAGTATTATTTTCAGTGGATTTTTTTGTTTCAAATGTTTATCTCTTTTCATATCTTTATTCTGATGATCTTAATTAATGCAGGAATAGCTAGGAGCTCATCTAGCACAACCAGATAAAATTCTACTCACTTTCATTGTTGCCTGCTGTTCTTTATTTTGCTTGTTTTTAAGTAGCTTAGGGGAAGTTTCAGTGTAGCTACAGTATTATTTGGCACTTCAAAAAGGTACACTCATGCATTCATGCACAGCACTTTTTGCCCATCCTTTGAGTAACAGTCCTTGTAGTCTGTCCTTCATGCTGGAAATTGTACTAATGCACATTTTTTCTTCCAGTTTGTTTCTGCCCCACAGTCTTCCACGGTGATTGTTTCTGATTGCCTCTAGTAATCTGTAGTTGATTTTCTTTTTCCCCTTTTTCCTTAGAGAACATTTTATTTGCTTGCTGTGAGCAATTGGCACATGTATGACTGTAATACAGAGTTGCTAAACGTGCTCTTGTGTCACTAGAGCAGAGGCAGGATAGGCAGAGATTCTCCCACTGGCATATCAGATGGTAATCCTTGGTGAAGACCTCTGCAGCTGGAGAGGAGGTGGTGGTTTTGGGTGGTGTTCAGATTTCCAGCATTCAGGCTTCCTTCCAGCTACTACCCAGCATTGGTGTTCTGTCACTGATTGGAGCTGCATATTTATTCTGCTGACTGTCAAATGAGCTTAAGGCACCAGTTTAGACACCAGCATCAGATACCAAGCGTAGGTAGTGGAAATATATTCCCTTCTTACTTATTGCCTGAAGTAGTGTGTGGGTGATCTGTATCAGTGGGGAAGCCTAATGACTGCCTGTTCAGTTGGCCTCAGGTTTACCTCCAAGTTCTGTGTTTGCTCATTGCTGGAGTATCTCTGAGCAGCTCAGGTAGACAGATGGTGAATTACCCAGCCTTGGTGTGAAGAACCTGAACATGTGAGCACATTAACCTCATAGACCGCTTTTTATCAGTGTAGTTCCTCAGGTAGTTTGTAGCAGGAGTATTCTCTTACCCAGTTACATTTAGTAGCACAGCCTTGTACAAAGTCACTCAAACAACAGAAGTAGTTGACAGTGAACGTACTAATTTTATGTGTGTTCTCTAAAATAATAGGTTAGTAATAAATATATGCTCATTTTTAAAACACTTGTGAAGTATTTATGGACTGTGGAAGCCTTAAGCTTGTCTATATTCTCTGTAGTGATGTGTTCAGTAGTACTCAGATACTAAGTATTGCAGAGAAAATCAGATGCCTTGGGAATTATCAGAGGAATTAACTTGCTTTTAGATGTAAATAAAAGCTCTGACCAATGAGCTGTATTGGATTTTGGTGTTGTAGTTATAGATACCCTCACCCACAGTGAGCATTTTCTGCTCCCAGCAGTAACTGCTTCTGCTGCACTCAGGAGTGGAAACAAATGTCTGAGCATCACCCACACCCAGCTCAGCTTAAAATGCCAAAAAGTAGTTTTGCACAGTTTTGTCTAGCCTGAATTACACTGTTTGAAGCCTGGAATACATAATTGCTTGTGAATTCTGCTACCAGGTCAGTAATCAGGGGCAGTGGAGGATGATAAAGTCATACACTGTCACAGCAGTTTGCTTCAATGCCCCTGTATCAGTGCTCTCCATTACAGATATTTTGAAACACAATGCCAGCTTGGTAGAAGCTCTTAAGCATTGTCACATTGTCTTTGGTTGCTTAATAAAAAAGCTCTAAGAGTTCTCTGTAATAAAAAAGTAGCTGTGAAATTGTTATGGGTATTTACATGGCATTGCAAGGATGTTTTCAGAAGTTTTTTCCATCCGTATGAGAGATTGTTGGCATTTTTATATTTTTCAACTTGTCGTTTGGCTTTAGAAATGCACAATTAGTTGCAGCTTGAAGTCACTCAGAGTCCAGTTTTGGCAGCTGTGATGCACATGTGTTATAATTAGATTCAGTAAAGCACATTCCCATGCCTAGGTTTTGTTTGTTTTTTTTTTTAAGTGGTTGTGAAACAAATACTCTATGGACTCGTACCATTTTAAATAACAGGAGAGACTAGTGCTGTAATAAGAACTGTGAACTGAAGTAATTTGGGTTTTACTTGGATGCTGTCTTTTGAAGGGAAAAGGTCTGTCTGGTACAGATGCTGCATGACAAGCTTCTTGCTCAGATGGACTGTCTTTAGCATGCCTTTGTGAATGTGTCTTAGGAGTAAGACCTTTGTCTACCCAGTCTGCTGTGCACACTCATGGTGGGAGTTCAGATTATGAGTACCAGAGACGAAGCCTTGGCGGAACTTGTGAGCTAACATTTCACTGCTCATAGGAGAGAGGGGGAACTAAAGAGGGTTGGTGGAAGCAGCAGCCTGCTTTTTCCTGCAGAGCTTATCCTCTTGAAGGCTCACACTTCTAGGGAACAGTTGCAGCAGAGAAAGTGTATGTCATATTTTTGTGCTACATATGACTTCGTTTTGACAGACCTCTGAATTCTTTTCCTTTTTTAGCATGACTGCATAGGAAGTATGTTTCAGTATTTTTTTGATACTCTCTGAGCATAGTCACATTCTCACACTGTTTCTTTGTATATTCTTTCCCTCCTTGGGAAGGCTGCCTTCTGTGAGACAAACAACAACAGCTATCTAGAATTTGACTGTAGCGTTTTTCCAGTCTTTTCTTGGGGAAAACACCACCTTTTTTAGGTGTTGACTTTCAGCATAAAATACAGGCAAAAAAAAAAATAATATATATATATATATATATATATATATATATATATATGTATATATTTAGCAAGTAAAATTCTATTAATTTTTAACAGCACAATGTCTCCATGCCTGGTGGAAAGTTCTCAACTTACACAGCTCAGCTGAATGCATTGCACCCGTACACCAAATACCGGTTCAGGGTGCGCTGTTCAGCTGCTGAGCACTTCTGGAGATGGAGTGACTGGAGTGGGACAGAGGAACATACAACGTTGGAAGCCCGTAAGTTTATCTGTTTCTTTGATGATAAAGAGTGAACTTGTGAAGCTATGTGCTTTTTAAATTAGCTGTCTAAAAAGCTAGCTTTTTGATAGACGATAAATTGTATACAGTGCAACTTGGAAAAAGAATCTCTTTCTTTATCTTAGCACCTGCCAGAGGACCAGATATCTGGAGAGAGAGAAGTCCTTCTGGAAAAAGCCTAAGAATCTTCTGGAAGGTAGATAGGAAACTTAAAGTTTTAACATACGGTGTAATTTAAGCATGAAAATCCATTTTCCTACAGATATATAAATGAATGGAGTTGATAGTCATAAATCAGATTGTTTTTCTTAACATTTATAGAACCATCCATGGAAAAAATATTTTTCCCCAAGTGGAAATTTACTGAAGTTTTGTATTTAAAACTTATATTGAGAGGCATTTCCACTTAAACAATTAAATTTTTAGTAAATCCCAGGTAGAAATGAAAAACTTAAAAACCTTTGTATTAACTTCCAAACTTACACTTGAGTTACTATCTTTTCTGCCTGTCCTGTGCAGTCCTCAGACAAGACTGGGATGCTAGAATCATATTATCCTATGTCTTCTTTAACTTTCTTCCTCCTTTTTTTTGTGATGTTTTCTTTGTCTGTTCATAGCCCTTATCCCTTTCTGAAGCCAATGGAAAAATTGTGTCTCATGAAGTGTCCTGCTACCTGCTAGAGGAATCACTGGAGTATAAAGAAGTCACGGAGCCCTCAAACAGTACTGAGATAAAACTTGGAAGAAATGATTGTGTAATTAGTGTTGTAGCCAAAAATCATGCAGGCTCATCTCCTCCTTCAACGATAACAAGCGTGGAACTTCCAAGTGGTGAGTGCTCCCAGAGGAGAGCTTAGCACCTTCATACCTTGGGGAATATGTTGGCGAGTTTGATGATTGAAAAATGAGATGAAACACGCTTTGCTTGTTTGCATTTGGTCTTTGTTTCTTTTTCCCAGGCAAATCTACTGCATGGGGGAGGAAAAAAATTGCTGCTTTGCACTTAGGGTAGTGTCTTTCCAATTAATTATGTTCTCTACAAAAAAGGATGATAGTGTGCAGCCTCTCTCACTACTGCTTTTCTGGAGACCTCCCAGGAGCAACAAGCATGAAGCTTCAAAGCATTAGCATAGCTCTCTGATGTTTAAGGAGCTCAGTTTATTTCTGTGCATTCTTTTTGAGATACTGAGAAGTGTTACATGCTGAAGAGAATCAGAATAAATATTTGGAGGTATTGTGTGCCTTTTTAAGAGAGGAATTGTCGGTTCATTGCTCCTGAGCTCTGCAAGAGAACATTAATTGGACTGTCTGGTAAAATGTTGGCATCCTTGTGCTGGGAGCTGGGGTTTTTAAAGAAGGTAGGACTTCAGCTTCTAATTAAAACACTGCCACTCTTGCTGTGGACTTTTGTAAAGCAAAATAGCTGAGCCAGATAATGATTTTCTGCTCCTAACCTTGAGCTTGTGGAGCAGATGATATCGCATGTGGATATTGACAGTCCATGCTTCCCTGCTTGCCAGGAGGAGTGTGATCTCCAAAGACCAAACCTTTGGCTCTTTTAGCTGTTTTGTGCAGAGGATGTACTGCTTCTCCTCCACTCAGAGAGCAGGTACCACAGGTACCACAGTCGTCCTTCCAATTTTGGCTCTGGTAAGAAAATGCCGTCTCCTGCCAGGAAGATACATGCCTTGAGTGAGATTTGCAGTGAGAGAAAAATGAACTTCTTTCTATGCAAAAGAAAATAATAGCTCCTCATGTTTCTTGTGCTTCTCCAAAGCACCAACACTTAAAAATATTTTCTTATTTTGCTTCCTGAAGGGAAAAGTAATTGTACAATAACTAAATGAATAAAAATGCTTTTATAGCTCTCTTCATGCAATACCAGAACTAGACTCTAGTTTCTGGGGAGGTCTCTGTAATAGATTTGTGGTGTGGGACAGCTGATGGCAGCTGGAGCTTTGCAGTCATTTGTAGCTTTCTCTTGTAATGAGTACTTGGGATGTCTGAGGTTCCCCTCAGTGTTACCCAACTTGCACTCCTTGAAGGTTTGCTCCCAAGCTGGTATAGGAATTGTCTGAGTCACTGACTGGAGTCATGAAAGATGACTCATTTACTGAACTGGATGACATTTCTACCCAAACATCTTTTCTGGCTGCTTCCTGTGTGCAATCTGTAAGTGCTTTCAATGTCCGTAAGAGAGCAGTGGCTCTGAGGCTTGAGATCTGTTGAGGTTTTGTGGAACCCAAAAACACAAACAAAGGATACTTTGCCTTAATTAATTTGTTGCTGTCTGTGAAAAGTGCTGTTAAGTGTTCAGGACACATAATCTGGCTGTTATAGACTCCTCTTCTACAGCAGTGCTATAGTGCTTCTCACTCTGTAGATTGCAGCTATAAATACATCAAAATGAGCAATACTGACCTGGGTGAAACTCTAGACTTCTGGTTCAGGAAATAATATTGAATATGGTGTATTTAAGCATTTTAGAGGGTATGTGCTCACTATAAAAATAGGAAATTTTCATGTCAATAGGAAAATTAGAGCAGTCTAATTACAAATATGCTCTTCCAGCATCACAGAAGAGTGATTTCACTGGATGCATAGCACTTTTTAGGGAAAGATATTACAAGACTTCTGAAGTTGATTTGTCTTTGTTTAACCAGATATGGCTTTTTTGCCTAGCTAGCAAGCTACAAAATGATTGTACACTTAATATATGTTAATGTTTTTTAGAGCTAAGCAGTTCTTCATCATTCACAGCATGTCTGTGAGAGTGAAGTTTTCACAACACCGCTTTTTAAAAACTGTCGTTGCCCTTCAACCTTCCATGGTTTATGGATTTAATGACATGAAATAATAGACTCAATAGGGAGCATAAATGAGAATACTGAATAAGGAAAAACTCAAACCCTGAAATTGTTTTTGAAGATCAGTTGTGGGGCCACAGCTGTTGCAATGGCCTTTAGAAAACATCTCTTAGCTCTGCAGGGTCCCATCTGCGAGCCAGGGAGGGAAGCTGCAGGAATCAGAAGACATTCTCAGATCTGATTGGTTCAGAGGCATCCAAACCTTTAAAAATCAAAGACAAACAAACAAACAAAAGGCATTGCAGGTTTGTTTTGGTTTGTTGTTTTGGTTTGGTTTTTTTATTTACCCTTGGTAGCCTCGAATTTCTGTGAAGTTCACCAAGGACTCAACTTTTGCTGTTGATTCTCAGTGAAAAATAAATGTCTGTGGTCGGGCGAGTGACAGCAAGACACTCTGACAGAAACACAAAGCAAACTGTTAGCTGAAATAACAGCAGGAATTTATAGCTGCAGGCTCCTGCCAAATTGGTGTCAAGTCAGATTTGAACCTGCCATTTGCTGTAAATCCTTACGTTGAAAAAGTGCTTTTTTAGCCAGTCCTGAGCTGCAGTACTTCTCATCATCATACTTAAGACTGGCTGTGGGATTTGCTGCAGGCTACATCTGGTTTCCAGCACTTGACAAAGCATAGCTGAGTGTGCTGCTTTGAATTTCACAGTACCAGGAGAGCGTTTCTCATTGCTAGAAATCACTGCAGTTTATAAAACCTTTGTGCTGTGGCTGGAAGTCTTTCTTTCAGCTTTGACTGATAGATAAGTGTCTGGTCTCTGATGGATTTTTTTGTCGTCTTTGTTGCAGACAATGTCAAAACAGATCGAGCTGTGGCAATGGGGAATGGAATTTATATTTCTTGGAATTCTTACCCCAACATGACCTGTGGCTATATAGTAAAATGGTGTCATTCATCTGGCTCCGAACCCTGCACTGTGGACTGGCAGAAATTTTCTTCAAATACAACAGATGCAGTGATAAAATCTGGTAAGTCAGAAATCAGTTTTTGAGTTTTTCTGGTTCAGAGCCTGAGTAGCAAATGAAATGAGAGCAGTACCACTGCTGTGGATCAAAGATTGTTGCTCTGTGCTTGTGTATACAGATGAACTTCTCCTTGGCGTTGCATTTTTTTTTTTTTTTTTGATTTCTTATGCAGCCTTACAAAATCCAAATACTAATCATCACTAACTTATTATCATCATGCATTTATTACTATTTTGAAATTACCTCTTCTAGCTACACCCAACATCTTGTTACAGCATAACACATGATGGTTAATCAAGGGTTCAGGTGTATATTTGGATTCTAAACATAAAAAGCACTGATCAGGATGGGGGGAAGACTAATGCATTGTTTTTATATCAGGCAGATATTTTTTTTCAAGTGTGACCTCCATGTGTTAGATCACTTTCAGCAGTTAAAGTTCTATGGAATGGGGCACATTCCAGGTCTCAAGTGCTGGTGGGGAGATAGGGAAATGAGTTTCAGCTTTTGTGGGACTAGTAGAAGTAGAAAAGACCTAAGAAAGATGTAGGCTTTTTCTGTGCTCCCTGTATATATGTATATTTACTTTCTAGAAGTGTTTGCTATATGTAAAGCTCCCATTAGAGAAAATGATTTGAAACTGTGTACATAGAAAAGCTGGGGTGGGTGCAAATTTAGTAGGTGAGCTTTCCTACTTGCAGTTACAGTGCTGTCTCCATGTTATTTTTGTTTGTGCTGGCTAGCTCTTGCTTTTTCTAAGTAGACAATACTGTGTCTGTCCTACATGCACTGCTCAACTCTTGCTCTCTTTCCTGCAATGCTTTTTGAAGTATACTGTGGGAATTTCCAGGCTGTGGGGGCTGGGCTCAGGCTGCCACATTTACCTCTGTGTTTGGTCCTTCCAGAAGAGTCTCTCCATCTGCACCTGAATCCACATGACTTTTGTAGTGGTCCACAGAGGCTGCTTGTTTAGGAAAAGATTAATTGAGGTTTAGTTTGAAAATACTGACCTGCAGAAATCACAGGAAGTTGTAAATTATTTATACAGTGTAGTATTAAACATGTATGCCTCTATCAAAGGCATACAAAGCAGAAGTTTGACTGTCTGGGTTTTGTAGAGTCATTTCAGACCTGGTGTTCATTGCTAAAGTGTTTCAGTGTCACTTTTGAGATATCTCTGAATTTCTTTTGCACTCTTGCTGCAGTAAGTCTGTGTATTTCAAAATACGTTTTTTGTTTCCAAAGAGGAGTCAGGATCAACATGGCTGCTGTGGGAGGAAAGTAGAGCGATTATTTCAGTAACTTTAGTTTGTATTTCCTCATGGAAAGAGCAATTTATGCAATTTTAATAGCTTATTTTGAATCTGTTTAGAAACAAAATTTCTCCAAGAGCTAGATTTGCTTACTGCTCCAAAACTGTGACTAACAGTGTTTATATCTAATACTGCAGTCTAAGGCTGTCATTTTTTTAATAAACAGTTTTGTGAGTATGTGCAGTGTGAAAATTAGAAGCATCAGTATCCATAAGTGAAATCTCACTTGTGGTTTTTCTCTTGCAGCTCTGTTTAGACCTGGCGTGAGATACAACTTTTCACTGTATGGCTGCAAATCCAGTGGATATCAGTTACTGAAAAACATAACTGGGTATACGAAAGAGCTGCGTAAGTGTACTTTATCATTCAGGATCTTTGCAAAGTGAGTTTGAACTGTGTCTGCTTTTAGCTCAGTGCTGGCATAAGATTGACACTAAAATTGTCATACAGTGCTACTGACTTCTGCTTGTTCTCTGTACGTAATTGTAATATATTTATTAATCCACCCCAGTTCTCAGCATGCAACAACTATATATCCTCCAGCTTGTATTTTGGCATAGGGTTTGCCACCACAGAGCAAAAGTTTGCTTTATAGACAGTGTTCTTTGGAGCTGAAGGCACAGTTACAGTGTGAGCCTCAGTGATATGGTCCCTTCTGCAGGAGAGGGATCAACTTTTCAAGTCAAAGCAAACTTCTGAGAACTGGCTTCCTTGGCTACTGTCATAATGAGTTCCCTGTTACACTGAGTTATACTGAGTTTACTCATTTCAGCTTCTTGGGCTGTGGACTGAGGCTGAGCTTACTTGCCTGGTGATGCACTAGTGGCTGAGTGCCTTCTAGTTCCAGGAGCCTGAACTTGTTGATGCTCTTTACAATCACATCTCCTGTGTGGAATGTGACTGCAGCTCCCATTTCACTTCGAAGTTTTGCATGGTTTCTCCTGGAAGATTGTGCTTGGAAAACTGAGCTGCTGAACTAATCTGATCCCTTGGAAAAGCTGTTGTTTATATCATTGCTAAAGCTGAAGGTGAAATTGAGAGAATTTTTCCAGAAACTCATCTTTCATCCATTTGCATTTCTGTAAAAATAAACAACAGTCTCCCAGAAGGTTTTTCAGTATGCATTCTCAGCAGAATTAGAAACTTTCCAAGACAAATAGATAAAAGCCTTGGATAATAAAAATGCATTGGTCACTGGAAAATAAGGATATTCATTTTGCTGAAGATTGTAGATTTATTCTGAACATCAAATTTGCCTTTGGACAGGTAATCATCAAAGCAAAATAGATGCATTCTCAAACATGAGTTCAGTGCAGATAGATAATAGTAGATTATTGTCTGACATCAGACTATGTCAAGCTACAAGACCTTATACAACACCTACTGTGATGTTTTCAGTAGGCTCCAGAAATTGCAGTAAGGACCTGTGATGCCTGCTGAGGCTGTTCTTTTAAGCTGAGATAGGTTTCCATAATAGTAGTGTGAAGTTTGTTTAATTTGAAGACAAGCTATGCAATCACAAAGCTAAAGCCTTTAAAAGCTAAATAGTTCATATGCTCTGAATGCTTATGCAATCTTTTGGCATTTGTTATATGAAGAAGGGTATTTATGTGTATGGGTCTGCAAAAACATTGCCCAAGAAGAGATTTTTCTCTCAGCTGGTGTTATTAGATAAAGCTGCAGTAATTAATATCAAAGAGACCAATGTACTTGTGTCTTTGTAATGTCACCTGTTCAGGTGTTTTTTGAGAGTGAGGGAAAGATGTTTAAGAAAAGCTGGACATGCCAGCCCCGAAATTAAACTGATGCAACACTTGCATGGATTCAGCATTTAACTCTAGGCTGTTACTGACTATCTTCTCCTTTCTTAATTCTTCCTGCAGCTCCAAAACGTGCACCAAATTTTACTGTAGAAGAAACTTCTTCGGATTCAATATTGGTAAAGTGGGAAGACATGCCTATTGAAGATTGTCAGGGGTTTTTAGAAGGATATCGGCTTTCCTTTGCAAAAGGTGAAAAAGATTCCTTAAAGCCTAGGCTTTTGGAATCAGGTAAATCTGTAGATCATCATTCCCTTGCTCAAGCTTTATTTTTTTTTTCCCCTTATTTTAATTTCATTTTAAAAAAAGAAAAGAGATATTATAGTTCAGTTGCATTAGTCACTGATATTGTTGGTAGTTGGCCCCTGATACATAACAATGGCATTTGAAATATCAGCTCTTTGTTTGATTAGCATAGTTGTTCTTTAATATAAGACAAAAGTTGGAGAACACCCGAGTTAGCTGAGGGCATAGAGCTGTGCAGTGACTAAGTGTCAGTGTGACACACTGCCCTGTGTGCAGATGTCTTGGGTGGAAGAGATGTAGGCGAATTTATTTGGCTATGTAAATTGGGTATCTACCAGGACCCATATTGCAAACACATCTCTGTACAGTACTGAAGTCTGTCTCACAGTGAATTAAGAGGACAAACACAAGTGTAAAAAATTGAGCAAAATCCTGTGGTGTTTGCTGCCATACAGCCAAGCACCACTCTGCTTCAGTTTTGTTTAAAACAGAGGGCTACTTGGGGTTAGTAAGCTGATTGAAACTTGCTAATGCTGAGGATGGCTCTCTGAATCCTTTTTTACAGCGTGTGCTTTTCTTTCTTCTAAACAAACAGGGAATCCAGAACTTAAAGTTAAGAATATCACTGACTTAACAAAAAAGTCTTTGAAAATACTTGATCTTCAAGGCAAAACGAGTTACCAGCTAGACCTACAAGCCTACACTGCTGGTGGGTTGAGCCCTCCAAACAGCCTCTATGTGGTGACGAAGGAAGACTGTAAGTTGAATATCCCTATGCATTAATGTTAGTTAGTGCAGGGGCTGTCCAATGTATGTAAAACTGAGGTGTTTTTGTTGTGTTTTTTTTTTTCCTGGTTACTTCAGATAGTCTATTTTTTTTTTATTTAGTTAGTTCCTTTTTTTAAAAAAAAAAAACAAACAAACACAAAATGATAAAAGTGAGAAAAAAGTCATTTCTTATTACAGCTACCTTATAATTCAGGCTAATGTATGCAGAAGAAATAACTGACAAACTTCTGTTATAGTATGGAGTCTTCTTTAGCAGCTTGTTGTTTTTGTCAAGTTTCCCATGAAGAATATCTGTCTGTTAATACGTGATGGGAAGAAACACATTGTGGAAATATTTACCCGTTTCAGAATTATAAACAGATGCCTTTCTGCTTTTAATTCAGTTTTATCAATCCCCTGACAGAAACAAACCCTGAAAGATAGTTAAAAAAGAGATTGACTTTGGGGAACAAGAATTAAAAAAAAAGTCATGTGAAAGGAAGACTAAACACTGGGGTGCAACAAAAATACATGAAAAATCAAATGTAAGGCACTTAACATCAACAGAGAAAGGCAGTGGGAATGTATCAGAGAGCAACCTTGGGAATTAGAAGCATTGTAAACCATATAAAAGGCAGTGCAGCTTGTGCAGTGTTGTTTTCCTTTAAGAGCCATTACCAGAGATTTAACCAGCTCAAGTAACCTGAAAGTGCTGTTCCAGTGCCTACTGAGAACAGAAATCGCAGTGGCAATCCGTCTTGTATTGCGCCTTTGTGATTAAGCAAGCAGAGAGAAATAATCGGCTGATTTCTGTAGCTGTCACTGAATCAACTCTATTTATGGATTGACTTCTGGTCTCCCAAAAAAGGTGAAGTTTATGATATAGGTCATTGTTTATGGGCAATTGTTAGCTGAGTTTTTGTTTAGGTGAGATAGATTCTATTCTGTGGGGCTGTTAGAAAAGGCATAAAGCTTGCTGGAAACTTTGGATATGTTTAGTACCTTTTCTTTTTTGTCCCCCAGCTGTAGGACTAATCATTGCAATTCTCATACCTGTGGCAGTGGTTGTTCTGCTTGGAGTGGTGGCAAGCATCTTTTGCTATAGGAAAAGGGAATGGTAAATATCTACATTCAGTTCTGAACGTTTTTTGAATATGTTTGCTTTAGCATCAGTGTTTCTGATTATTTGAGTAACTCCTTGTTTTCTGTGGGTGCCCAAATATGTTAGTGGGCTTTTACAGACAGACCTTTGTGTAAAAGAGGGTGGCAAAATAATGTTTTAGAAGGTGAGGAAGAAATTGAGTTGGCGATAAGTCAGAACTAGGAATACAAAAGGGTTTTACAGGAGCCTGTCTTCCCGTGAGCCCTGTTTATAAATCATTTTCCAAAGCATAATTTGTGAGCTATCCACAAAAACCCAGGTGAACATCTCACCTTCACATTCTCATAAACGTGGCATCACAAGTTCCCTAATTTAAAAAAAGAAAAGAAAAACAGAATAGTTTGCTGCTTTTTCCATTAAATACTTAGAGAAAGTATAACATACTGAATCTTTATACCAGATGTCTTCAGTATTGTGAATTAAAGTGAAATATTCTTGACGCCTTCAGTGTATTGGCAATGTGTTTCAGGGCTTGGTAACTTTGACGAGTTCTTTCTCTCCTCTTTAAAGGATCAAAGAAACGTTTTATCCAGAGATCCCAAATCCTGAGAACAGTAAGGCACTGCAGTTTCAGAAGAACATTTGTGAGGTAACCTTTATTTTAAATCTGCATTTTAAACTTCTAGAAGACACAGTGAGCAAATAAGTCTTCTGCAGGCTTTGAGTCTTCTACTCTAGTTGTAAAATAACTCTGTGGCAAAGAGGAACATGACAAGATGCTGTGTAACTTTTGTCAAACTACATCTGAAACTATAATGTTTACGTAGTTACAAAGTTTGAACTAGGAAAGAGCTGATGCATTTCTGTCCTGCAACACTAATAGTGAGTCTTAGTAAATAGCTATGTTACTCCCAGGTAGTTATTATCTTTGTCTTACTGGTAGGGGAAGTAGAAAGTATGGTAACATATAGTGGGCACCATCACTGCAACTGAGTGTAACATTTAAATAACCTTGAATGGATTATAAAAAGCTGAGATTTGAGGAAACAGTTCTCAAACACTTACTGCAAGATTTGGAGTCTCTTTAAATTGGCTGAAATAGTTTTAACATGAACAGGAGTGTGTGAGGAGCCAGAAAGTAAAAATTAAAGCATTTATTGATTGACTGGTTGTTTGATTGTATTAATAGCAATGGAATAAGTGCAAGACACAGTGCAGGTTTAATTTGGACAAGCTGTTACTATCAGGGTTTCCAGGTCTTTTAGCTCAGTTTCTGCCCTCTTTTTCTCACTTCAGGGGAATAAGTCACTTAAAACACTGGAAATGAATCCCTGTACCCCAAATAGTGTTGAAGTGGTGGAAACACAATCTGCAGCTCCCAAAATTGAAGACACTGAGATGATGTCCGCAACAACAGACACCATTGTGCCTGAAGATGGGTCTGACTCAGAAACAGAAAACCACGTGGTTGTGTCCTACTGCCCCCCTATCATTGAAGAGGAAATTTCAAATCCCCCTATGGATGAACCTGTGGGGCTATCTCAGGTGGTTTACATTGACATCCAGTCAATGTATCAGCCTCAAACTAAACCAGAAGAGGAGTCAGAAATAGACTTAGTGACTACTGCTGGCTATAAGCCACAAATGCAGCTGCCTGTCAGTGCTCTGAAAATAGAAAGCCGCTCACCTGCCGAGGAAGAATCAGATAAGACAGCAGGTTACAGACCTCAAGCAAACACAAATGCCTGGAACATGGACACTCCAGATTCTCCTGGATCAGTTGAAAGCAACAATGAAAATGCATCTTTTGGGAGCCCATGCTCCATTAATTCCCGACAGTTTCTGCTTCCCCCAAAAGATGATGAAGACTCTCCCAAGCCCAGTAACACGGGGTGGTCCTTCACACACTTTTTTCAAAACAAGCCAAATGATTAACAGTGAGTCGTCGTTGCACCTGAACCTGCCTTCTAAATAAGCTCTTGTTCCTGATGAAACAGGATGAAAAAGTGCAAAAAGCATGTGTTATTCTTGGAGACAGTCAGCAGAGGTTCTAGTAAGCTGAATGTTACCATGTTTAAGTTAATGAAAGTGTTGATGTTCCATTTTAATAGAGGCTGAGGCCAGAATTATAGCAATCTAGTTATTACTGTAGTAAAATATATTGGATATAAGTGGTATTGAGTTTAGATCTCCTGATAAATATAGTCAGAGAACTCTGCCTACATTCAGATAGTGTTTGAAGGCTAATATGGTCTCATACAACTCATAACTTGGAAAGATTGCTTTGCTTTGTTGTAGTTGTTCTCAACCATGCATACTCAAATGATGTAGTCCCAACAGGTATGCTCACTTGAAGATTTCATTTACTGAAAACTTCAGCCTAATGTTTTATAAGGATATGGTTGGAAACTCTTGAGGTCTTTTACCTAGTGATAAACTAACAACAAATCAAAGTTCTACTTTTCTCCCATATGCAAAGGTATTGTCACTGTTTAACACTTCTGAAGCAATGGCCGTTCAAAGCTGTTGCTTCTTAACTAGACACTAGTTTCTGTACCTACTGTACAATGTTTATTCAGTGTTTGACTCAGGGGTACAAACTTGAGAAAAAAAGTGTAACACTGATTTAAACCTCAACAAGAACTGCATGAAGTTTAAAAAAAAACAACAAAAAAAAACCAACAAAAAAACAAGCAAACAAAAAAAAAACAACATAGAAACTTTATATATACTTTTTCTGTCCTTTGGTTAAGGAGTTAATATTTCTTGATGTATTGCACTAATGCATTTTGTATTTTATAGTTTGAACTCCAGACTTCCTGCCTCAACTCGTACTCTATTCCATTCCCCCACAGTATTCAGAATCTTTGCATTATGCAGTAATGTAAGCCATGGGGAAATCTCTGACCACTAACACTAGTTGTCCAAGCCATTTGGCACCAGAAATCAGATGTAGTACTACAGCTCTGTGAGAACAAATTGCTCTTTGGATGGTCTTCATTATGTTAGCTGTGCTACCTGCTGCCTGGCTGTTCTCCACATTGTCCACCCAACAGGACCTTTTCCTACAAATCTAGGAGTGCAAAGGGGGATTTCTGCAGTGGCAGAAACCTTAAGAGGTTTTAAGGCCACTAATTCTACCTCTCCTTTACTAGACATGTGATGCAAAGATACCTTAAATGATGTAAATTTGTATGCTGAAAGAAGTTTTCAGAACAATCATCTTTGGATTTTTTTTTTTCCTGTATGCATCTATAGGCATCTGTAATTGTAATATTTCACTGTGCAAATTTCCAACTGTAGCACACTGAGTTTCACTAGCTTACAATACAAAGTGCTTTCTAATTTACCTGTTCCATATTGTAAAACACAGTGAAGAGAGGTCAGATCTTTAAGCGCTTGATCAAAAAGGGTTTTCATAAAGTCCTAACCAAATCTTAGTGTATATTTCAGTTTCCTGAACTAGCTTGTGGCATTTGAAAAAAAAAAAATAAGATGAATGAGTGGATTTGAGATTTCTAACAGATAAGGAGGCTGGATTGACTAAGTTGCTAGCTGTAATGGTGTGAGAACAGACCAGAAGGATGGCTAAGTTTAGCAGATGTTTGGTCTACTGAGCCACATAACCTGGCCATCAAAGTAAAACCAAGCGTTAGGTTAAACCTAGTCACTGCAATGGGTGCTGCAGTTTCAGATACTGACATGTCTGCCATCTCCATAGAATGAAAACACAGAGGGATTTCAAAACTGACAGAACACTAAAGGCAAAACACTAAGAAGCTTCCAAATCATCATCACTAACAACTGTATATGCCTTCTGGAATGTAAAGACAGTAAGTTTAGATGTGTTTGCGGGCCTGACAGAATACATGGTCTGTCTGAAGAATGGAAAGTGCAGATAGGATTCTGCTCTAGAGGATGAATTTTGAAATGAACAAGGCTGCAAATGAGAAGTAAGACAATGTGAATAGCTGGTGTCCATCTGTCAGCAGGCATCCCTACAAGAGAAAGTTTAATGCCTAACATATTACTGCTTGTTATTCAGAACACTAAATTAATACATAAAAGGAAGCAGTTCTACTCTTTGTGCTAGAGAGCTAGGCAGCGATTAGGTCCTAATAGTAGCAGTATTTTCTTTCTATTCCAAAGCTCACAATACTTCATTTAAAGCCTGTTGGTTTTTTTTTTTTTCACTCTGGCGTTTTTTTTTATTATTATTATTTTCTAATACATTTATGTTCTAATAAATTTTAGATTATGCTTTTAACTGAAAGCAGAAGATGTTTAGAACAGAGTGTGGTTTATTACATTTTTGTTTAGTGGAACAGTTTCTCAATACAGAGGAGCAATTACTGTTATATGAAGATCCATAGGAAAAATGAAAACTCTGCAGGGGAATAGCTGATCTCAGAGAATAACAGTGCTTTCCTATGATTGCATTTCACAAGAAGCAACACCAAATCGAAGTCTAGCAGTTTTTACCTCAGTAGACTGGAAGCCAGGGTGAGCAGAGAGCGCTCAGAGCTCACAGGGGGCAACCTAACACCTTTTGCAATGCTCTTGAGGAGAATCAGTTCAACATAAATATCACAGATTCAGGTTCTCCTTCATGTTTCTCTTCATTTTCAGTAAAGGCAAAATCATTGCTTTATTTTACCCTGATTAGGTGGTAGAGAGTTCCCCTAACATAGGGTCGTCTTTAATGAACCATAGCACTCTCACTTAATTATCCATTGCTGTTTTTATTTTTTTTAACTTTATTTGATTTGTGTCTCGATTTCCAGGATGTAGGCAGAAGAGTCCCATTAAGAGCAATGGCTTACTGTATCTTTAATCTTGGTTTATAGCCCTGCAGTGGGGCTTCATCTGTACACTACCAGCGAGGACTCCTTTCAAATGTCTGTCTTAAATCTTCTGCAGCAAATCCAAATGCTGTATTAGTGAGAGAATATGTGCTCATTTATAGTGTCCGTGCGAAGACACCCCTTGGTGTGGATGTATGGAGCAGTAAGAGTGAACAAGGACCATCAGAGAATAGACTTGCTTTTTGAGCCCAAGTGATTTGTTAAACCAATGAAGCATGTTTGAGATAGTCTTCCATACCAAAAGCACTTTCAAAGCATGGTGCTGTTTAGCCTCTGGATGTATTGATGTCAATTGTAAGACTGAAACTTTGGGCTTCAAAGGAGATCAGACTCCTTGTACTTGTGCCTTTGGGCTTCCCAGTAAGTCTGTGTGGTCAAATTAGATATGAGTGAAACCCCTTCCCGTTGTTTTTGAAAGATGTATTAGGAAACTAAATGTAATGCGTTTTCGTCATTTTCTGAAAGATCTTTTTCCTTTATTGAACATCTATTTTGTTTTAATTCTTTCAACTTTTTGCTTTTTTTTTTTTTTTTTTTTTTCCTAGAGTAAAAAATATAAAAAGGGAAAAGGAAAAAAATTACAGAAGGGTTCCAAGTAGAAGAGCTTTTGTCCAAAACACTTTACTCCTAACTCAGTGCTTCAATCCTCTGATTGAATCGATGTCCAGAGATGTAGGGTGCCAATGTCAAGCTGTTTCTCTCTGAAACAAGTCACCAGTGTTGCTGCTTTTTGTTTTGAGCCAGGACTGTCATATGTGACAGTTGGGTTTGGTTTTTGTTATGATTTTTAGTACTGTTCATTTGATGCATGGAACATCAGTCATGTCTGATGTAACATGTGCTCTTCTATTTGACTTGTTCATTATTTTTGTTGTTCTGACTGACATACAGGAGCAAACTTGGGATCTTGATTTTGTATGTTAAATTCTGGAGTTGTAAATTTGAATGTGATATACCTCACAGAACTACTAGTAAATATTTCAACAAAATAGTAAGCTAATATTACAGATGGGCAGTGAATTATCTCCCCAGCTATGTGGTGGTTGCAAATGCAGACTTAGGACCTAACCAGTGGTATTTGCTGTTGTTGCTGACTCTGTTATCCATAGTTGCTGCTTTTGTGGATAAATTGATTGTCAAAGGAAATCAGTAGCCGTTTAATCCATCACAACACAATTGGCAAATGCAACACATTTTTTCACATTTATGAGGGGGACCAGAACTTTCCTTTTCTGGGCACAGGGCATCAGGGTGTTTCAGGCCTGCTCTGAAGGGGCACATAAAAGTCTCTTCTCTCCTTTTTTGTTCTTGACAAGTCCGACAGAATAAAGTTAGAGATGAAGGCAGTGAGATTCCCTCTTATGGTGTCCTCCACACTCAATTGAACATAAATGGTAGCAAAACTAAGGGTAACTGGATTTGCTGGAGGGAGAAGATATTTGAATATCGCTATCAGAAGGTGACGAGAAATTGTATCCTCTATTTTTAGACAATAATTTCTTTGTAAATAGCATATTTGTATCTAGAAGTAGATAAAAATACAGTAAAAAAAATTGAAATATGCAGGAAGAAAATGTAATATTTCAAGAATCAAGTTGCTAACAACGCTCTGTACCATAAAACTATCAAGAACTTCCCATGTAAATAGCATCCTCTGCTCTGCCACAGGCTTAGAAGATTTCAAATCCAATGGCATCAGAATTTTTAATACTAAGTAAGGTCCTAACTTTTCATGCAAATATGTGATAGCAGCATTATGTACCTAGGTGTGTATTGGCTTACGATTCCCAAAGCATGGTTTTTCAGAGCCCTGTACTTGAGTATATGCCTTAGGAGGTGCATTTTCTCACAGGGGGAATGGCTGCCATCTGCACTCCTCCCAGCATCCTGTGCGGAGTTCGTGCTGTTGTGCACTTAGCAGTGACCTGCGTGACTGATGTTTAGAGATGCTGTCAGCACATCTGCAGATTTGTTGTTGGATTCTTCTTTGACTTGTTGTTAGCAAGCCTGGGAGGACATTCTTCAACCCTATAAGTTGCATACAGAGATTGAGGAACACTGGAGTGTTTAAAAGCTCATTTCCTCATGCCTCTCCTAAGTTTTTAAATATCTTCATAGAAGCTGGAAAACAGTTTCTTCCATAACAGTTTTTTTTTCCCCTCCTCCATCATTTATATAACTCTGGATTTTCCCCAGTGTTTCTATGATAGTGTTTATTTCCTTTTTGCACATTATGCAAACAAACCTCAAATTATATTGGCAGAGTTTTCCATAACTTTACAAGTTGTCCCAGTGTGCATAACAATGCTTTTTTTTTTTTCCCCCACAAAAATGTCTATCAACTTCTCTCACTTTTTCAACAAAAAAAAAGTCTCCAGAAAATATTTGAAGACTGAGCTTCACCAGGAAGCTCAGCAGTGAGCTGGTCAGTGAGCAGAGTGCTGCAGGGGATGGAGTTAACTCTTTGCCAGTGCCACCCTCTCTGTGTGTCTGGACGATGCTATGGTGAGCCAGAGCAATTAGCATCCTCATCTATTACTGTAGAGAGGATTTTATCTGTAGAGAGGATTTTGAACAGTCCCAAATCTGCATTTCAACTGGTGTTACCAGAAAGAAGGCTGCTGAAGTAGATGCACAGCTTCCATGAGCACTCTGCCAGCCACACATTTCAATAACTTTGCAACTCATTTGGTTTAACTTGCAAATTGTAGTGCCCAGAAAGTAAAGTTTAACCAGAGGCTGCATAAAAATTGAATGTTTTCATTTTCCTTAGTTGGGCTGATAAAAATTCAAAAAAGCTTAAAGTGGGCAGAGTAAAATAGATTTGTGAAGACTCACACCTTTTAGTAGCAGTATGAATAGAGATATAAAACAATCCTTAAACTTCACCATGACATTGTTTCCTTAATGTGATTTAAAGTGGCTTAGGGTAAACAATACTGTAAGCTTTGTAGCCTGTCAGATGGCCAAAAAAGAAGATAACTCTCATCTGAAACCCTACCTGATGATAATGGTAGTTTGAACTTCAGCCCAGCTGTGGCACACGAAGCAGCAGAGCTGGTGGAGTCATGCAAGTCACCCAAAAATTTGTTGTACTCTAATGCTGTTACTTTTAAAATATATACTGTGAACAGGTTCAATGGTTCAATGTTTTGGGTTTTTTTTTTTATCTCTTTTTATACCGTCTTTTTACAGCATAAATAATTTTTTTAGAGATGGTTTTGTGTTCTATTTTTACAAATATTTTAATGGACTTTTGTTAAATAGTAGTGAAAATATTGTTTGCCAATTTGAAATGTTCATCTGTAGAAATTAGTCCTGAGAATAAATCAATAAATCATACTGTCAAAACAGTCATCCTAATGCACTAAACCTAACATTTAACATAGTTCTGTTGTTGAATGATACCGAAGTTCTCCAGCTTCCAAATCTGCTACTCAACAAATTTTCACAATTTAAAATAATCATACAGCACTTTAACGAAGTTGTAGTATACCAAGTAAAGTAGTGATTCAACAGTGCGTATCAACAAGAAGATTTATTAGCTTAGCAGTTAAATGCATGCTTGAAAATGGAAGCA